TTATTATTATTATTATTATTATTATTATTATTATTATTATTATTATTATTATTATTATTATTATTACGGTTCTTATCATCATTATTATTGCTATCTTCAATGATTAGTTTTCATTCAAAGGTCTCTAGCTTCCCCGAAAAATGCCCGTTTCAAACTTTACACTACGGTGGCAAGGTCGTAATTCATAAAAAGCGGCGCTAGGCAGTTTCTTCCCTTTCAAGGACAGGGCAGTCAGTTCTTTGAACGTCATCGGATGTTATCGTCTTATCACCCACTTGGCAATACAGGTCATCACTATTGAAAAAAAGGTTTATTGATCAGACTCACTTCAATTTTTTCAGTTGATTCCTTGATGACTTGGAACCCTTCTTCTTCTTATCGATGTCATCGTCGCCGCCGTTGCTGCAAAAGGAAGAATAACGTCTGGAAACGGGGACATCAAACAGGGGCCTTCATCGTATTTTCGGAAATGCGCCATGTATATGAACTACACTGCGAAATGATGTGACGATTACGTGGCTGTGTAAGTGCTAAGACCTGTGAAGCCCAACACCACACCAGCTACACCACAGCGCTGTATTGTGCGCCATGCACTCGATTTCATTCAGAATCGCGGTGACGTTTGAATGCGTATTTGGCCTATGCGATTGGGGCAGCCCGGAGATGACTAGTCATGAGGAAAGGTTTCTTTGCTCTGAGTAAGTATCGAGGAGTTTGCTTTGGGGTTTTCGTCCTGAACTCAACAAAGGACCTGTGCAATCGAAACACTGTAATGCACCTGTCTAGGGCCATATTGGATAGGTCCTTTCTCGAATCAACATTTTAGCCTACTCCTAGGGCGTAGAGTAGGCTAAAGTGGGGATTTGGGGCTTATGAGTTGTGTAATTTGGGGTCCTCACTGAGTGATACGTATGTGGGGAGCAAGATGCAAGTGAGCCGTATTTCCCTATTTATAGAAATGAGAAGAGCTCAAAAGCCGCGAGCCCAACCAACAAGTTGTCTCAATCTTTTCCTAGCGTAAATGGCTAGCCATTTAAGAAGTGAGTAAGTATGACCTTGTCTTTTTTAATCCATCAGAGTATCCTACATAGGACCTTCAAGAAATATGTCACGTCGTCGTCTTATGACCGTGCAAACGACCAACCATATATTATTTGGCTGCTTTTTGTCTTCTGCCTATCCCATTACTCTTCTTGTTACCGTTTCCATTTGTTCTTTGGCTACTACTCATTTACAGGATACGAACAACCGTTTCATGGACAAGGCTGACCGGTTTTGAAGTTTTGCGAGCTGTTCAAATGTGTTTGCTACTGCGTACAGGTGGCTACATTGAGCTACCTGCGTGCAACGTATGCGCTCCAGTGCAAATGGTGCAACCTCTACAGCCTCTACAACGCCGTGTGAACTCGTCCGTCTTTGGGTGTGTACGTCGGCTATGCCCGCTACGCTCTGTCTAGGCCGTTTTTCGATACAATAGCGATCCTAGTGCTACTCATGGAGTCACAGGTTCACCCTAAGGAAAAATCACAGAAATCATTTTGATCGTAAACTGTGCCCTCATTACGGAAGGAAAACGGATCATTCCCGTCGTAAACTGCCTGGAAACGAAAACGGAAGGCGACGTATATTACCAGAGCGGTAACAACTGAGTTACCAAAGAATTGGCAGAGAATTTTAAATGCTGATGGTATGTACTGATTAATGTCAGCTCTGAACTTTTGAGTAATTCTGCTCATTAAACTTGGAACCCTTCTTTTGCAAACGGAATAATTTCCCTTCCGAACATAATCCATCAAAACCAGTACCACCTTTTATTGCGGTGGTTGGCAAGGTGGGCGCAACTGCTGTGCAACGATATTTTATTTTAAAAAAGTGATACAGCCATTCATAATAATTCTCTTTACAGTTTTCCCACTGATAGGTGTTTTTTGGGTGATTCCAGAGCGGATAATAAAGTATAAAGTTCCAAAAAGTCATCGTTCACAGGACTGGGTAGGTTGGTCCCCACTGATGTCTTTGACAATTAATGAGCACCGGGACTCTGTCAAGGAATTATCACGGCCCTTTGAACTTAAATTCAATCAAAAATATCTAGATCTACACAACAAAAAATCTGAAAATTCAAAATCAGCGAACAGTTTGAAGAAGCCATGGTGAGCGGAACCGTTCGAAAGCCACCGTAACCCTTCCCGCAGTGAAGATACATGGCGCATCCTAGTTCCAAGTGTCTCACCCACAATAGGTGGCTTAGAAAAGTGGAAAAAAATTCAGAAAAAAACCAACTTACGGTGATTTGGATGACCAACAACCGTGAACACATTGCAATGGACGGCTAGTACTTCCGCCCATCACCGTATGGAAGCAGTTGATGAACGAGAACAGTCGCCTCCGATGAGGCTTATGATGATGGGATCGTAGAGGAGACACGATGAAAGTGCAATGACGAGAGACGGGGACGATCGACGATGATAACGGACGTTTCCACTGAAAAATCGTCCCCTCGTTCAACTTGACAATAACGGGGTTGAACATTCGGAAATCGATCATAAACGGCACTTGAAAAAACGGACATAAACGCACAGGAGAATGTTTTTCGTTGCGATCGACAATTGAGATCGCCGACGATTATCTGAGGGAATGAAATTCAGATTTAAAGATCATATAGAAGAATAAATAAAAAGTGAATTGCCTGAATTTCAGGGATTCCACAGATTTATTTATTTATTTATTTATTTATTTATTTATTTATTTATTCATGCATTTTTATAGAAGGCAAAAGGATCGCTGAAGGGTCAGGAAATGGTAACCTCTATCCAAAAAAGAAATACAGACCTAGAAAATGTTTCTCAAAAGCGGAAGTGAGTGTCACATGGAATGCGCCATGCGCTCTACTCCCATATCAAAACGACGAAGTGTTTGTAACAATACTTTTCGACGTCTACAAGGAAGTATGTCTGATGTCTGATCCCCGGATTGTAAGCTCCTTTTCGGACACTCGATCATACTTGATAATTGAGGACGTACAGCTTAGCTTGAACGGAATTCGATCCTAAGACCCATCAATGATTAAGGAGTCCATCGATCAGACACCTTTCGGTGCTGATAAACTGGTGACTTGACGGTGTGATAAAGCCGACCCGCGACGTTTTTCACAGATTCATAGGACCTGTGCCTGTTGGGAATGGGTTTAGATAGCACGACCATGTTACTTCAGAGAACTTTGGTGAAAAAGTAAAAAGAAAAATTCATGGCGTTGATTAGGGCGGAGGTGGTGTGGTGGCAAGTGGCGCACTATAACACACGCACGGTCAGGGGTTCGAATCCCGGATTGGTGCCCGCCTAGTCCAACCAAGCTCTCCATCCCTCTAAGGTCGGTTAATTGGTACCAGACTCGTTTGGGAAGACAAAAGCACTGACTTGTACATCGGCTGGCTATCGGCCAAGTCATTGTTCAGGCCACATACGCACTCGTTACGCCATTACGATTCTGAAGGGAAGTCGGGTGCGGGGGCGCATAATTCAGACGGGATTGATTAACGCCAAAAACTTTATTCTTTATCCTTTCATTTAGTGGGGAATTCAGCGGAGGTAGTGTAGTGGTAAGTAGTGCATTATCACGTGCATAGCCTGGGATCGAATCCCGGATCGATATTCGCCCATGCCAACCAAGTCTTCCTCCTCTCCAGGGTCGATAACTGGTACCAGACCTGTCTTGGAGGATAAAAGAATTGACTTGTTCATCGGCTGGCCACCGCAAGTCATTGTTTAAGCCACATACGCATCCAAAACGTCACTACGATCTGAATGGAAGTCAAATGCGGTGGAACTTCTCAAAGGTGAGACTGATGAACGGCAAGAAGCTAAAAGGTCTTTAGTGTTCTGATCTTTCGATTATGGGCATCAACCTATGTGAAAGTTGATGTCCTCATCCTCCCAGGGAATTCTGGAAACAACTGTTCAAGTCGACAGAAATAGAAAGTTTGGGCAGGGAAAAAGAGAAAAATTTTCCCACGTTGATCCATTTCCCAGTTGCAACCACGAATTTGGCCCACATAAAAATCGCAATTGATTCCGATCCGAATCTATTCAAGCAGTTAAAAATTCACGATTCGGACAAATCGAATAAGAGATTTCTTTGCTTTTCAAATTTCCTATGAGCTAATATTTGATTTATGGCCTAGGGATGGGAAAATATTCGAATAAGCATCTATGAATAAAACAGACCTCACATTATGAGAAAGTTAAGTTAAATACGATGAACGATCAACAAAACCAAAAACACAGTTTTTTTTATTCAAAAAAGGATAAAGTTTTTGGGCGTGGATCAACTCGTCCCTGAGGAAGTGGCGCATTGAATGCGTATGTGACCTATACATTGACGTGCGATGGCCAAGTGATGTACAAGTCAATAAGTCAATGCTTTTATCCTTACAGACGATTCTGGTACTAATTAAGCGAGCCCGGAGGAACGGACGGCTCGGTCGGCCCAAGCTGATATCGACCCAGGATTTGAACCCATGATCATCCGGGTGTAATAGTACGCCACTTGCCACTACATCACTTCCGCCCTTTGGTCGATATGACTAGTATGTATTAATGATAACATCAAACAACACTTAAGTGCTCCTTAGCCAGCAAGTAATTGCGTAAAACATGATTAATATCAAATGACAGTATGCACTTTTCCTAGGGATGAAAAAGGAACTGACGTCAAGGATAAGGAAACGGTGATCGAGTGGGAGCACAAACACCTTACTTACGGCAGCAAATAGGTACTGGGAACAAGTACAAGTGCATCAGTACAAAAATAGATAGTCGTCGGCAATGAACCATCAACGTGGGCACTCAGTTCGGCAAATAGGATAGAAGCGGAAGAAAATAGAAGCCTCATTCGCACGGAAATCAACCAGCTGGGGAGTCAGACTGAGCCGTGCTCTACGAGTCCCAAGCGGACAAGTTTCAACTTCGAACTTCATACAGTAAACAGGGTAAAATTTCATGGATCAATCAATCCGGTTTTCTGGGATGCGCTCACCATTCGACTTCCACTCAGGATCGTGGTGGCGTATTGAATGCGTATGAGGCCTATACAATGACTTGCGGTGACCAGACGATGTACAAGTCAGTGCTTTTATTTTCACAGATGAGTTTGATATCAACTGACTGACTCGCAGGGATGAAAGGCTTCGTTGTCCTGAGCGGATATCGGTCCGGGATTTCGGTCCTAACCGTGTCTGTGTGGTAGTGCGCCACCTGCCCTTACACCATATCCGTCCTCGAAAGGTTCGTTGATGGCAGATAGGTACAACTTGATTAGATTGGAATGCGAAAAAGTCGAAACGAACTTTCTCGTCTCCACTAAGGTCAGTCCAGTCTATTTTTCCCAATGGTCTTGCGAGGTTCATTATAGAGTAAAAAGAAGTTTCTTTGAAAAAAATATGATTGAGTTAGAATGATAAGTAGCAGAAAGCGTGGGGATTATTCTAGTATTGGTTGACCGAAAGTAGTAGTTGGTTGTTTTCTAAGGGGTGGAAAAAATCGATCAAATTTTTCAATCATGGCTCGATTCAAGTTGTTACAGAACGTAATTGTTTTGTTTGTTACTAAATTTATAAAATGTAGAAAACAGGCGTCAAAAATTTAAGCCGTCGTCAAAAATCTATGATGAACAGCAGAAACAATTGCAACACTCATTTACTAGTAATGAGTTGGATTAAAACGGTATAAAAAGAATGAAGTGTTTTGGCGTTAATCGTCTTAGAGATATGCCCCGAATCTGACTTCCATTCAGAGTCGTAGTTGCCGTTTGAATGCGTGTGTGGCCTATGCAATGACTTGCGGTGGCCAGCCAAAGCACAAATCATTGTTTTTACCCTCCCAGATGAGTCCGGTACCAATTGATTGACCGCATAGGGATGGAAAGCTTGGCTGCCCTAGGCGGATATAGCCGGGATTCGATCCCGTGACCATGCATACGTGTTTTCTCCCTGAATGTTGTGGACTCGAAAAAATATGAGGTTAACTGGAAGCGAATTCAGCGGAAAGGGTGCCAGCGAATCATGGAGAAAGAAAGACCTAACTAGCCGGGAAACATAAAAGAAATTCGAAGAACTCAAAGCAAAACTGGAAAGTTATCGTTTGATGATCGATTGTGATATCGTATTATACCTAATACCTTGCGATAATGTAAAGTCTATGAAAAAGAAAAGCATGCGCCCGTTTCTTTGCGACAATGCCGGCGCCGAGTGGTCCGATGTTATCGGGCCGGGGCAATGGTCGTTTTCGGTTCGTCAAGTGATACTATTCAAGGCTGCAACATGTATGCAAAGCAAGAAGGAAAACTCGTCCAACGGTTACGAAGAAAAAAACGACGAAAAAACGGCGAAAGGATGTCCCTCATTGCCCCATTGCCAAACTGGCGAACCAGGTGGGGAACGTATTCTACCGAAGAAGGCTTCCTAAACAATCTGCTCCCAGATACAATGTAGTAGAAGATAGTTATTTGGGAAAAAGTTCGAAAAGGAAACGTAAGTTGCCATCTTGCATGGGTCGTTAGGCGCCAGTTACGGGTTATGGGGGTTATGTCATATGACCATGGACTGGTTCCTGACACATCACAAGTCTCGCCCTTGAACTCTTGCCCTTGCCATTTTCTATTAACTTCGTAATTTGTTTACTTACTTACTTATTTATCTTTTAATTATTTATCCATGACGTACGAAGGTCAACAGCAACAGGCCAACCTGTAACACAGATCCTATCCAAATTAAAGGGCTTTTCGAACATCGAAAAGATAGAGACAGATCTTAGACCTTTCCTAGGAGCCGTTTTTGGCGAAAAATGATAACAGTCAGTAATATCACATATGATAACAGATAGCGCGAGGTGGTGTAGTGGCAAGTGGCGCACTATATCACACG